GCTTGAGTATGTCCAGCATTCACCCACGTTTCGTCCAAATAGTAAATTTTTCTTTTTTCATCGCGAAACTTCCGAATCTTCCTAAGGTATTCCCTTCTCAAAACACAACAATTTCTTCTTTCTCTATTAACATACTGTTTCTTCCCCGTTTCAAGAATCGAAAATTAAGTTCCTTCAAAAGTTTTCGGAATGTGGTTCTTTTAAATGATGGAAGATCATCATCAGCATTAACTAATCTTAATATCTTATCTACTGTAGGTATCTCATTTCGGAAGAAAAAATTATGCACTTTCCTCCTGATGGCAGTTCTGTCAAAGTCATCTACTCCGTCCGTTATCCTTTTTCTTGCAGGATACGGTTTTGGCTCAGAAAGTGAGTGAGTGCTCCTATATTCCTTAATGATCCTATAAACACTGGACCGACATACTCCAGAAATATGTGCTACCTTACATATAACTTCGTCCACGACCAAATCGGGTTTTTCTTGAATTTGGTTTTTGTATATATTTAATATTATTTGTTTTTCATTTGCACTTACATGTAGCTTCTTAGCCCTTTTCTTGGGTGGGGTTGCGCTGATGTCAACCACTTCGTCGGCTGTATCTGTGTCAGACATCGTATCTTAGGCAATATATAAACAAAACGTTCCACTCGTGAAAAACGAGTATACGCTACTGAATGCGTATGCAATGCAATCCTGTGCTTGAATTAACTGTTAGATGCCTGTCGTGTCATCTACAATCACGTTTACAAGTCCAAACCTGTGCAGATTCGTAGAGCGCCGACGACTGCTAGTGACCTTGAATTTGTCTGTAGATCGATGTTACTCCAGTCAATTTAGGTTCAAAGTGGATGTTTTCTAAACCAATTTGTTGTTCCTACATCAAAAATATATCGATGATGTTTTGTACTGGGAGCTCATGAAAGATCAAGGTAACTTATTTTAACAGTCATCCTTTTTCTAGTCTCAAGATGACACGAAAAAGGGTCTGTGGATCCACTAGAAATACACTGCCGAGGATGTTTAGACCTAAAGTGACTGGAGTATATCCGTGGATGCTTTCGAGGGATCTGTTCACGTGCTGATCACTGTTTACGTTTAATGTCTTTCTTCAGCGCCCAGAGTTTAGATTCGTCTGCGGCTTAAGTCGCATAACATAATCAATTGTTTCTGGTCGTCTCATAAAATTAAACTGGATGAAAACAAAAAAATATTTTCAAATATGATTATCTTGTATTCATTCATAAACTAATACTGATGTCCAAACCTATGTACTTAAGAGAAAAGCCGATCTTTAAGTATAATATACATGATAGATTAGATGTCCAAATATCCTAACTACTGCTATTCACTCTGCAGCGTCATTTCAGCGTTCTTTCACGTACAGTGCTGCAATTTTATAGAATGCTTTGAGTCCTGAATTTGCAAACATGTCCCTTAATTGCTTCAAGAGAGCTGTTAAATCTTAAAATAACTCTGATGCATAGTTTGAACACATTGTTGTTTCTGTTGTTAATTTTTTCTTTTCTTTCTTTGTGTAACATATATATAGTAAACTTTTGCGCAACGAATATCTTTCTTTTGTGTTTTGATATCTGCTACCTAACAAGTTGAACTGTAAGAATACCGTGTTGCTAAAATTCTCCACCATTTGCAACTTTGTTCTATATTGGATTGTACAGTTTGAATAAAGACTGGAAGATTATTATTAACAATGTTGGAACCAAGACCGATCCCAGGGGAACACCCGCGTTGACATTATGGGATCAAGGGGAGTACCCATCAAGTACGATGGATATCTTGCGGTCAGCGAGGAAGTCAGCCGCCGATCTACAAAGTTCCACTGTTTATCGAACGCTTTCGTGATATCAAGAGCAACTGCCTCACCATAAGACTGGATGAGTTTACTCTACAATTGCGTCACGCAAGTTAGGAGGTCCTCCGTGGATCGCTGGTGCCGGAAACCATACTGCCTGTCGCTAATCAGAGTACTCCAGGAGCTCCCGATTTATGCACTTCTTCATACAGAAGGCTGATCTGTAGGCCTCTGGTTGTAATGTTCGGTCTGAGATCCTTTTTTTGGAACAGGATTAGGATTAGAGGCTGAAGTCTGACCCGTTATCATAGTGGTAGAAAGACGACAAGAATCTCATGAAAATTCAACTAATTCATACTCAAGGAAGCAAATAGTAAAACGTTTTCTGTACAGGTTTCTGCGGGCCCCCAGTTGCATTCAACCAGTGAGCCACTGAACAGAGGAGCGCGGGTGAAAGCTCTGGCCTGGAACGGCCGACACACGGACCGACAGAGCGAGCGGCCAGTCGCCGCTGCACTGCGGTGCAAAATGCAATTACGGCACAGCCAGTTGTTAGACGATCGTTCGGGCTTCGAGGAATCACAAGCCACATTGAACGGACCCATTCTACGGACATCTGGGTTGAGTTATGCCCACGATACGAGAAAAGGTCGGATGGTCTTTATTATGATACAGAGAAATGTCAGTTAATCACTGTCTGGTTTTGATCATTCCCAGCTTGTGAAAGTATACCCGCATAAAAATGGATAAAAATCGCTTTATGAATGTAGAAACGTTTGCAGTCTAAGAAGGACTACTAAAGGATAATCAACCTTAGCTCGTTTTGTGAAATTGTAGGCATGGTATAAAGCTGCTAAAAATAAAAAATGGCGCCCAGAAGGTTGACCCACCTGCAACTTTGGATTGTATTTTTTTCGAAAGCTGAAGAAAGTAGGCGATTCTTACATAGAATGGTGACAGTTGGCATCTACTCCCTCTATAATTTAACAGTCTGTCCATGAGCTCTCTCTAAATATATTGCATAGCATTCTAAAGTCTGTTAAGGAGACCAATATACGTATTTAGCTTAGGGACGTATCGTCGTTCCTAGAATTGTAGGACGCGTTTATGGCTTCCTCTACTCTAAATGTGTGTCAGCCTCAGCGCTCCCCTATTGTGAAGCTATGCTCCCTTTTTAAATTGTAGGAAATTTCAGGCTGATATAACAGATGATTATGTAAATCAAAAGATAATGAATTTGATGGAAATAGATATTTGCAACATAACCTCAAAATAGAGCGCTGACACGGAACAGTAGAAATCAAGGAAGTGATAAAGGCGTACAATTGTAGGATCAACTGATGATTCGACCCTTAGCTGTCCCCATGTTTTATCCTTTGTGTTGAAACGCCCGTTTTGTGTGTCAATGAAAAGTGCCATGATAGACCCCTTGACAAAAAGAGTATTTTCCTTTAGTCCCCCCTTCTAGTTGTTCCCAATCCGTTAGGTATAGGTAAGCTATATAGAAATGATTATAACCTAAAATTATATAAAACTTATTATTATTTATTATGATCCGTTAGTATTGCTATTATTATTTATATAGAGACTAACTGAAGGACTCTTTATGCCCTAATGCCAATAAGAAATAATGAAAAACGCAGGCACCGGATAAAGCTGCTGAAAGTTAAAAAAGGCGTCAAGTAGGTGGACACTGTCCTTCTCATGCAATGTTGTTCTGGAAAAGTTAGTCCACTTGAGCTACAAGCATATATAACAAACAGATTGAATATATATCAAGTCAGCCAAACAGGCTCATACAATTAATCCCCACCCATTTGATAACGAAAAAAATGAGATATACACTCCACCACCCCGCACACCCGACTTTTAACCCCCACAAATTTCTTTCTGAATATGATCAGGAGCCTCTGAAACATCAAAAAGCAAAGTTTGAGAGATCTTTATTTTTCTCATGTTCTTCCCCAGCTCACTCACCACTAGACCGATTTTCAAAACCTAGCTATTTCGTCCTTGGCATAGTAGTGACCATATGTCAAAAATTCATCAAAATCCAAACGTTACTTCTCAAGTTATAGACGGGCCAATGATTAATAGACAGACCGACGGAAATGAGTAACATGGTTTCCCGATATGTACTTGTCATATAACATCAAAACAAACATGGTATCTCATTTTCCAAATGTTTCGCGATTACATTACTTTGAGTATAAAATACTAAGCTGATGTATTTGATATAATCCTCTAGCAAAATAGCTGTACAGCCATCCTTAGGTAAGAGACAGTAAAGTTCACTTACTGCCTTTATTAAATTTGGATTCCAATGCATTTCTTTTATTAGTACAATTACAAAATACGAGCCCTGTCTCAGTGAAGTTGGTCCAACTATCAACACTACGTTTTTTTATGAAATTATAAAAAGAATAATTTTGACAAATATTATTCGCTTTCCTTAACATATAAGGAAACAAGCTGTTCTTAGATTATTTATAAAATTATTTCTATTGAATGATATTATTAAATGTAATTATGTGAATCAAATCTCATTATTAGATATTGAACAGATTTACTTTTGTGAAATTCATGTGAATTTCAATATAAATAGATTATATTAAAATACAATATAATTCTGCGTTTTTCCTTTGAAAAAATAATATAAAATAAATTCTGAAAACTAGGAAACCGACAGTGAATGTTTTTGCAATGTATAAAAGCAGTAAATCACATGTTACATTTCGTAAGGTAAAGCTCGAAGAAGGGGTCTGTGGACATATACACCTATTATTTCTTACAAGCTGCTAACTCAAGGTATCGCGTATATCTAGAGCAAATATTGAGATCGAAAACTGTAGAACTTAAGGGAGTTATTCTGACACTCCCTTCCTGTTGGGTATTTTAATCCCTTAATGATACGCCTGGTCCTGCTCAAAAGGGTATAATGGAAATGGTGAAGCTTGACATCGCCAACCCGGCATCACCTGTTGAAGGTACACATCGAATAAAAATGTATCGTTACGTCAGTTGATAATTTATTCCAAGGCGTTGTGTCTACATATACTGTTCTCGATAATCAAAATGCATAACGAACACTTCTACACCTTGCACAACAACGTTCACATTGTTTTTAGGGTGAACTATGGCACCTATAATGAAATTATTGTAACACATTCGCTCGGCTCACACCTACCTTCTAAATCCATTCGAAGGGAACGGAAACCGAAATCCAGTGGGTGACGGTACCGGTACTGCGACTGACGGTGCTCCTTGCACCATAGATGGTACCTGACCTGGAACCACTGGTGGAGGAGGAGGGTAAACAAATCCACTGGGAGGCACTATATTATTAGGAACCACTGTTTGGAGCACGGCCGCTCCCGCAGGATGACCGGGAGGAGGCGGTACCATAGCCGGAGGTGGTACCATAGAGGGCGGCATCGCACCCAGCACATTCTGCGGTGGCGGTGCGGGAGTATACGGAGGCGGCAGATGGCTGTTCAACAAGTCTGGAAGACGATCGTTCACCTGGGTACTACTTTCCCGATGAGTACCGACACCCCCATTGGCGATACGACGTTGGTGACGTCTTTCCCGACGTTCGCGACGACGATGCTCCCTCGTGTCGACTGTTATGGGAGGTAGTACCGATATGTCATCTGTCTGAGCTTCGGTGCTGGTAAAGGTCCTTCCTGGTCGTGCTGGAGGAGCAGTACTTGTTGATACTTGTACGGTGTTTATACCTGCATTGGTGTAGGTCCTTGCTGGTGAGGTGGTACCGACCAATGAGACCATAGTACGTGCATTCTGAATAATGACATTGCTGCTTGACGTAGTTATTGGAGGTGGAGGCAGGAAGTTCGTTATACTGGTGGAATTTGGTACGAAATGAGGTTCCAGTAGGGTGTTCCTATTAAGATTCTCTGGAGTATTATGGAGTATCACTTGTGTCGTACCGCTGACATGTGCAGGACTTCCGCTACTACCTGCGGATATCGTGCTTTGAGGAGAACTGAAATTCGTCCCCAAAGGTAGTACTTGTACGTTAGAAACATCGTTGCCTTGGACAGTGTTGAGACAATGAATCGTTGGTACCGAAGACGCTACATTGACAGGTACTGCTTTATAAAAATTCACGTTCACGTTGCTCACATTTTGAGGTTTCTGGTTGTACCTATTGACGCCACTCACAAGCACATTAGGCACGCTGATCGTACTACTTGTAGTCGTACCGCTTTCCTGTCGCGGCGGCGCCGAGTTAGGCACGGAACTACTTCGCAGCTGGTTGTTTATCTGGTGCAAATTGCTCTGGTCCACTTGATGAGAACTGTGTCGATGAGCTGGTACTACTGCAGTGTTATTCCCGAACTTCAAGAATTGGCTAGCCGGTTCCGACACGTTCCTGCTATGGTTCGGGAACGCGATTGGCCGCGTTTGCACCGGTACCGAGGCATATCGCGAGTGGTTCCCGGGCAATCCGACGACATTAGCGGAACTTAGATTCAGCGTACTCGCGAACAAGGGGGTAGTCGTACCGCCGTTGGCTTGCATATCACCACCGTTGACATGACAACTGGCGGCTGCGTGTTCAGAAGTGCACAAGCGCGCGGTCGCAGCGAGACTGAGCGGCTGGCTGAGTCGACTCGGTGCGCGCTGCGCGATCGGCGGGTCACGTGTAGGCGCTGCGGACGCTGATTGGCTGTCGGCTGCAGGCAGGTGAATAACCATCTCGGTCGCGGTGGCAGCGGCGCAGGCATGTGGGTCGCACGTCGGAGCGCCGAGGATGTCAGAGCAGCTCTTTGTTATTTCGTCAAGGTCGGCCAGCGAAGATGAGGATCGACTGCTGCAGGAACTGCAATGAAACAATTGCTGTTTTTTGGTTCGGTTCTTCACAGGAAGTTGTCGGTTAGGGTTACCAGATTATTGTATTGACATTGAAGAATTGGCAATTAGGGTTGCTTGTTATAAAACTACTTTTAAGGCAATACTTTTTTACAATGTCTATAATTTAGTCTCAATTATATATTTTATGGCGACCACAAATATGACAAGCCAAAATCATGACCATCGCGACCATTTAGAGGTCACTTTCATATCTTTCAACAATCAACTGGTCCCAAGTAATCTAATCAGTAATTAAGTTTAAGCTTCGTATAAAAAATATTCCAATACATTATAATCTTACCTGGAGCTTAGAGAAAGAGACTTTCCACTATTATTCTGATACTCATAGGGCTGCCATAGCAAGGAGCTCAAAGCCTCTTCTACATTTTGATGAAAACTGTTTCTATTTTTTCTACCTTCTTGCTCTCCAGATTGAGACGAAGATGCCGAGTTATCTAGCGTACACTTGTTGGAGTTGTAATCCTCCCTCAAAGCATTCACATTGAGAGTTTGTAACTCATCGTAGTTTGAGCTGGGTGACTTTTTGAGGCAGAGCAGTTTCGGTAGGCTCTGTTTCAATCCATGCTTTTCTACTTTGTGAGCAGCTGTTGGCATTATGGATTTTCTCGTGGGTTCCTGAAGGTTTTTATTGTGGCCCTGAACCATCGTATTTACGCCAAAGATGTTGTTGTTGAATTCCGAAAGAGATTTTGCTGTAATGAAATAAATATGATTAGTATTATCAAGAATGGAAAATTTTGAGATCATTTAGCTGATAAATAATTAATTTTTGGATCAATTGTAGGTTCCTTTAGAGAAGTTGTTGGAAAAATAAATAAATTAGCTAATCAAAATAATTTTTAACTACTATTTGCATGTACTATTTGCGTGAGCTTCAGGCAAAAATGATAATAATAATAATAATAATACAATTTATTCTGCTTTGTACAATTAGCTGGCGTGGCAAACAAAGAATAAATGTATAATAAACGTAAGAAGGAAAACATAATACATGACTTTGACATACATAATCCATTCCAGTGTTATAGATAAACATGCTTGATAAGACAATGAACATATCTGAAATATTTGGTGAAGCCCGTTGAATCCAAAATGATTGGTTATGCACGGGGCGATTTGATTTTAATTATTTCAATATTAAGCTTTGCTAAGAGCAAGATGTTAGCACATATAAACTGTAGCTAGCACACTAGAAGTATGGAGGGTAAAGAATAGTAGCACTAGCACTGTACAACTATTAGTAGACAATTTCGACCAGCTTTCTTGTCCCTTGTCTACCAATTAAGAAAATATATTTTTTAAATGAAATTTTTATCAAAGACGATGAGTTTATGTTATCAGTGTACATACGGTACGTGTATGGCAAACAATTATAAATTTTACATGATAGGTAGGTGTGGGGTTGTAAGCTTACATTTCTTTGAAATGTTTGTATTTTTAAGTTTTCATTTCCTTCGTGTCTAGTACTAGCGACCCTAAACCATTAATTAGCTTTCCAGTGTCATAATGAAAATTTCAGTGCTAAAAAATAATCAATCTTGTAGTCATTTAACTAACTCGATTAATTAACTAAGCAATAGATTTGGATCCATATGATTAGCTAATCACAGTTGCTCCTATCAAATGACCTTTAGGTACTAACTGCAATCGGTTAATCAGTTAACCAGCCTGTTATGTAGCACATGTAGCTGATTTATTTTGGGATACAAGGCATGTTTATAGTTACTACAACCAATTAATTAAGTAGCTAATTTATTAGTCATCGTGTATATACAGTATACCTAATTGAGTTCAGTTTTATAAAAGAACTATAGGTTCTAGAGTAAATTAGTTATCTAAAGTGAGATCAGCCGCTACTTTGTGTAATGCATCAATTAGTTAGCTAATCATTTGATTAGATATTGTATGATTGGCTGAAAGTTGGTGCATATGTTACACATCTCGATTGTTTAGGTATTCAATCGATTAGGTGACATACGATTTTCTTATTGCCTTTGGTTTAAACAAAATAAAATGAAATTGATTAGGTGTCATGTATTTACCTAATTGAGTTTAGGCTAGAAGTAGAGCTACAATCGGTTAGATATTTGACCAATTAGCTCGTAAGTTGATTAGGTATCGTCTTGCAGTTAGATAATTTAACCTAGTAAAATAATCATAGCTTCTAGTATGAATTGGTTAACTAAATTGATATCAATCATTACTTTCTGTGATACATCAATCAGTTAGCTAAACATTGGATTAGGTATTGTAAGATTGACGAGAGGTTAGTGCATGTGCTGTAACACCTCTCAATCGTTTAGCTAACCAATCGAATAAGTGACATACAATTTTCTAATCTCCTTTGGTTCTAGTAAAATGACATGTAGCTACTGTGATCGATCAATTAGCTTAACAGTATAATAATCAACGTATTAGCTAATTGAAATCAGGTCAATAACGTTTCTATATAGTTGCTTAATCATTTAATTAGCTAGTTAGTTGATTGGGTGTAACGTAATTAATTCGAGTTTGCAGTTATGGCGGTTGTTCATATCAGTTAACTAATTATGTATTTAGCCAACTACTAGATCGTTTAGCTAATCAATGGTTCCAGCAAAATGACATGCAGCTAATATGATCGATCCTTTAGCTAATCATTCTGGTAATTAACGTATTAGCTAATTGATAGTAGGTGATACAAATTTCTGTATAGTTTCTTAACTGATTAATTAGCTACTTTAGTTGATTGGGTGTAATGTAATTAGTTCGAGTTCGTAGATATGACAGCTGCTCCAATCGGTTAATCAACCGTCTGATTAGTTGATAAATCGGTTAGTCATCGTATATTTAGCTAACTGGTTAAAGTGACGACGTCCTTACCATTATCGTTGATGTAAGGGTGCATTGTCGTATTGGAACGCCACGTTGACATATCGGTGGTTGTTGCGGTGATGGTGGTGCATAATATTTTCCTGGCAGGAGTTTTTGGAGATCTGCCGCTGCTAGATTCCGGTAACTTCTGCTGCAAAGTGGCCATTATCTGGAACGGTCGTCGCCGCTTGGTGATGGTGGTGGGAAATTGCGCTGCTGATGCGTCATTTCAACTACCTGGAAAAAAACGGAAGTGCTGAATGATTTAAGGCGGTGATAAAGATACAGCACGGGAAAGTTGGACAGTTATTTATGAGTTGGAAGAGTATGTAGTTTGTAGGTTTGACGTAAAAAAAGCTGTGACTTGGCAAGTGTACCAAATTTTATTCAAAACTCTTATTATCGTTCTCAATCTTGATCGCGACTCACGAATAATTTTAGATGGTTATTGAAAGTGCAAAGTTTGGGTGTTCAGGGTATTCTTGAAGCAGGGCTGTCCTTTACACAGCATAGAGTTTTTGTTAAAATAAGTAGGTGCACCTAGCAATACTTACACAATATTTTAAATATGCTACACAAAACTATGTATGGCCCTCTAGGTGCTTATGGCCAATATACAACCCAGGATGCTGTGTTGTCAAGCCAAGTTGTTCATAAATCAGATTTAAAGGAATCCAAAGTGGTACATTTCTATAGTAACCAAGAAATCATCCGATTTGGTGTTAATTTACAGAGAGTGTTTGCAAGATTCTGCTGTTGCCTTGTGCGCTTCAGATAATTTACCACAATTTTTAATCACGCGAAACAGTGTCGCACATTTTCGTCCATCTGTCTGTCTGTCTATAAATTGGAAAGTACTCCTCGGATTTGGATGGAATTTTCACATCGTTTCTTTATGTTTCAGAGGCTCCTGATAACTTTCAGCAAAATTGTAGATGTTGGGGCACGTAGGTCTAGGCACCTCTTGGGCATATCTTATAAATCAAAGATTCCCCGGTACATTTGTCCTTAAAAGACTTGAAATTAGTTGACTTACCACTATGCAAAAGTGCATCGTTTGTCCGTTAGAGGGCGTCAAGTTTTCTTTTTAAAACACATTTTCTCATATATTTTTGGAGCCGATCATTCCATTTGAATGAAATTTTTAACACTAGTGTTTTGCTAAACGTCCTAATATTTGACTTTTGCAAGAAACCCGAAAGGGTAAGCAAAGGATGAAAGCTACCCCCACCACTACATAAATTATGACAAAATTCTCCCAACGACTTCGTTGTTTTATTTAAAAGATCTCTTTATTTACTTTATTTGCCTCTCATAAGCCCAGGCATCTAGAATGATTTTTGGGAAAACATGTTTTTTTGAGCTGGTTTCTAAAAAAAATGTTTCATTACGTCAAGTGTTAAATTTTTTTCGCCGTATTTTTGGGTGCAAAAGGGAGAATGGTGGTGATACTGAACATATTTTATGAAAGATTCGCACGATTTCCTGTATTAAATAAAATTGTAATAGGTAATATCACATTTATTTTTTCTCTCGAAAACTGTTAGAGATGGCCTATTCGTATACGCATCAAAAAGGAAGTAAATAAAAAGATCTGCTCGGGAGAGTTGCTAAAAGATTTTGCTAGAATTTATGTAGTTTTCACCCTTCTCGAACCGTATAGAATTATTCAAATATTAGAACGTCCCGCATTTCAAATTTTATTCAAATCGGACTGTCGTTTCTTAAAATATCTTGCAAATTTGCTTTAAAAGGAACACTTTGACGACCTCTAAAGTACAAATGAAGCACGTTTACATGGAGGTACATAATGTCCATTCGACTTATTTTGAGTTATAAAATACGTGGTACTTCTTTGTCCACGGAATTCGGCCTCCCATTCTAACCATATCGAACTTCGTACACTAAGAGCCGGCTGATACGATCGCTACTTTGTCACTATGCCATGGACATAAAGAGACTTTTTGAAGTTCTACTAACCCTGGGCAGTTCAAAAATCGGATTAAGTTTCTTTAAGCTCTTCATAGCAGCGGTGCCCGGGCATTTAGGCCTCATCGATTCCTTATGAACTGATGACAGCATTGCGTAAGTACAGAGTCAACCTACTTGACGCCATATTTCATCAGCGAAATGTGGCCATTACACTCGGCAAAATAATTTCTAAACAAAAAATTATACAGCATGATAATAAAAATCCTCTAAATCAACCGTGAAAATGGCGGCTTTCGTCCATTTGCTTGGCAAACCGTGTAATTTTGTTAATAACCTACTCCAAATTTAAGTGCATGTCATAAAACTGTCGTTGTCGTTAATAAAAGATTTTATAGAAACGGCGATAATCTCACAAAGGAAATCGGTTCCTCTGAATAACGGTGTCCCATGCCAGTTTTGTTATCTTCGAAATTAGTATGTTGTCCGACTAGAACAGTTTTTTCGGTAACAATGGGTTTTGATTACCTATCGTTGGCTTAATGTGCTATTAGAACCTTGGTAATTAAGAACACTTCTATTTTGGTACGGTTAACAGTTTTTCTATGCGGATACATACATATATTATGTTTCAAATAAGCTAAATAAGATTCCAACGCGTTGAGAATAAAATCAGTGTGTAATTCTTCAGGCTGTACACATACGGATCTAAAGAAAAGACAGGTGCTGGTTGTAGCGTTCCTGATCCCCGGCCACACTGTTGAAAAGAAATTCAAACTCTCATATGAACATTTAATCTTATCAGTAGGAGCATACGGCATATTAAGGGCTATTGAGCATCAAAACACCGACAAAGTTGTCATACTATCTGACTCATTATCTGTCATAAAAGTAATCCTAGAATATCGTTTACCTTCCATAAATATGAACCCCTCATAATAGATAGATAGAATTTTATTGCTCTTTTAGATCATAAAGACAAGTCAAAAAGAATACAACACAGCATTAACACAAATATAGTATACAAAGACAGTTAACGCATAACAGGGACAAAGATTACATTGAAAAGTACTATAAAATACTTAAAATAAAATCCAAAGATCAAATCCATTTTTCATGCGAGAAAGTCAGAAAGAAAGGGCGCCATCATAATTAGGACCAAAGCTCCTTTAAGGATATTCTACAATGAAAAAGTCGACCTCCTAGCGATTCAGTCAAGGAGACTGTTTTCGCAACTAGTTCACTTTGTATAGAAGACAGTATCACCGCCTCTAGGCAGATTATCTATGAGGAGTGGGTCAGATATTATAGTGACTCCTGCTTGGTACAAGATGAAATTTTGACAGTTCCATGGTTTCACAATATGCGAATTCAAAGAAAATATATCAGTATGTACAACAGATCAAGGTTTGAACATGGACGTTATCCTTCTTTCTGGCCAGAATTGGAATAGTTGAATCCGACTTATGTGCAATGTACCCTCAATCATCTGCCAAATACACAGAACAATAAAAGGACCCCTGTGCTAGACTTATCAGAGATGACTTTAATCCTGTGTATAGTATAACACATCTACTGACTTTAAGGAAAATGGCTGTTGTGATATATGGTATAAGTATTTAGCTCTGCTATTCCTACTGCCTTTCCTTGATGTTAGTTACCTTCTTTCCGGGGTCTTTTTTTGTGTCTACTAAAAATGCCATGATGGACCCCGTATGTTCAGATTCATTTCTCTTTTATAGGCTAGGTTAATGCATTGATGCTTCATATTAACAGTGAATATCATTATGCCCTAATGCCAAAAAAATCTCCAGGCTGTCCTAAGACTACTTTGTTCTTCGACTAATGGATACCCCCTCAATATGACCAGACTTGTTGCTGTAGGTACATCTCGTCCTCGGTTAATAAAGGTTGGCTTTGCATCGCCTATAATAGCTAAGAATATTCTATGCAAGAAGAATGATATTTTAAGCCACTCTACCTATAACTCCGTTAAAATTTCGGACGACAAAACACCGTCACAAATGCATGAGCTGCAGCAACTACGTGAGGAGCTGAAAGGAAGGCTAACCGCTGGAGAACGCAATATCACGATTAAATATGTTAAGGGTAGACCATCCATTGTCAATATTATTGCACAGCAATCTTCTGTATCAAACAACTGCTAACCGAGTGGTCGGTGTGCTACACAAACATTCAATCACTGGTATCTAAACTTCTCGAAGTGCAAGCATCTGTTGATGGAACCAAACCTTCGTTTCTTCGCCTGACAGAAACCTGGCTCAGCCCAAATACACCTGACTATGTTGTTAATTTGGTCTGGTTACTGTTTATACAGGGTGTTTCAGTTTATTGTTCCATAATTTTAAGATTCGATAGAACTTTTAAAATTAATGCATAAAGTCTATATAAACATGGGTTGAAAAATGCGTGGCTTCCGAAATACAGGGTGTTTAAATTTACTTTCTAAAATAGTTTTTTTTAAATATTTCGAACAATATTTGATGTATAACAGTGCAAATTGGTATACAAGGGTTTTTTGGTACGACAAAACGAACCATGGGCATAGTTTTACTGTAGCCGCTAGAGGACGCTCTCTACTGTATCTGTAGTGTATTAAAATGACCGAAAAATTTTTTTTAGTGCAATTTTTGGATTTTTGAATAAAAAAATGATTCTTCGCACTTTTCAACATAAAAAAAGCTCTCCTGTGAGTTTTCGTTATAGTTAGCCGTTTTTGAGGTATTTCGATTTTTAAGGTTCGATGCATTTATGGGAAATTAATATTTTTTTTTCACATTTCAGATTTGGGCATTACAAGTAATTAATATGATCGTTTAGATTGTGTTTTTAAACACAGCAATAATTCCTAACTCCAAATAATCACAAAAAAAACAGAATATTAATTTGTTTAATTTTCCAATATGATTTTTAACAAATTAAATTAATTATTTACAACTAAAATGCTATTGGATAGTTAGGACAAACATACAAAATCTAAAGTAGTTGCTCGAAATGTAAACCCAATTGTTCAATACACAATTCACATCTACGAATGATCGAACGTGGTATAGCATTATTCAGATAAGGCCTTATTTCATCACATGCATTCCTGATTCTGTCTATTAGCATATCTCTTGTGGTTACGGGAGTCTGGTACACTTTTTCTTTTAGAAATCCCCACACAAAGAAATCTAATGGATTTAGGTCAGGGGATCGTGGAGGCCAGGCGACTGGTCCTCCACGGCCGATCCATCTTTCTGGATCATTTTCGTCCAGCTATTCTCGAATAACGAGCTGGACAACCATCAAGCTGGAACCAGGCCAATCTTCTTAAATCTAACATAACATCATCCCACATATTCGCATGTTCAGCCTTTAAAAATTCCAAGAAGGTCGCAGCATTTAACCTTGCAGGCAAAAGGTAGGGTCCAAATAGTCGATTAAGGTAGATACCAATCCACACGTTCACACTAAATTCATGCTGAAAATTTCTTTCCCGAATTGCATGCGGATTTTCATGCGACCAAATATGTTGATTATGAAAATTTACCACTCCACGTCTAGTGAAGCAAGACTGATCGGCCCATAAAACGTTACTTAAAAACTCCCTATTATTATCAGTTCTATCAAGAATCCACTGACAAAATGTGATTATTCGTTCTCCGTCCCCTGGCTGTAGTCCTTGCACAGGTTGCAAATGGTAAGGACGTCTATGGTCATTTCTAAGAACACGGTGAACATGGATTGCTGAAATTCCCAAGGCACCAGAAACTTTCCTAACACTTGTGGTCGGATCTCTATCAAACTCACGCAGAATCATACGGGTAAATCTGCGCTGACGAACATTTATGTTTTGATCCCTTTGGAGATTTCCAAAACCATTTTCAATTATTTGGCGATGCACTCTTGCAAATACTGAGCGAGTTGGATGTCGTCTGTTTGGAAATCTTCGTGCGTATTCTCTGGCTGCTTCTGCTGCGTTTCCATTTACAAAGCCATACACAAAATGAATATCCGCTAACTCTTGATTGGAGAATAAAAATGGCTTTTTTATAAAACTTACAAAAAAAACAGGTAAAAGAAACTAAATTTCGTGCATTCACAATTGCAAAAAAACGTTTCAGGTTTCAACAGACAAGAAAACTAACTGTCAACTAATTGACGTTTAACCTTATTCTGCTTTCAATTTCAATAATATTTGCAGGCACAGCCTACTTCTAAAAATTATCGAGATACTGACTTTTTAACGTTATTTTATCATAAATAATTAAAAATGCATCGAACCTTAAAAATCGAAATATCTCAAAAACGACTAACGATAACGAAAATTCACAAGAGAGCTTTTTTATGTTGAAAAGTGCGAAAAATCAGTTTTTTTATTCAAAAAGCAAAAAATTGTACTAAGAAAACCTTTTCGGTCATTTTAATACAATACAGGTACAGTAGAGAGCGCCCTCTAGCGGCTATAGTAAAACTATGCCCATGGTTCGTTCGTCGTACCAAAAAACCCTTGCATACCAATTTTCACTGTTATGCGTCAAATATTGTTCGAAATATTTAAAAAAAAACTATTTTAGAAAGTAAATTTAAACACCCTGTATTTTTTAAGCCACGGATTTTTCGACCCATGTTTATATAGACTTTGTGCATTAATTTTAAAAGTTCTATCGAATCTTAAAGTTATGCAACAATAAACTGAAACACCCTGTATAGATTAGATTGCTGACAATTTCACAATAACTACTACTTCCAAGAGCTTCGATGGTATCGACAGCCTCTTTTTGGAACTAACACGGCCAAACTTCAGTTTTGTATTAGCCTGTATCTACAGACCGCGTCCCTGTTCTGGTGATGTTTATTTGTGTAAATTCGTTGAAGAACTTCTAACCAAGAATTCAAGAATTCTGTTAACTGGTGATTTCAACTTACGTGACATCAGCTGGCCCATGACAACATTACCAGAATGCAACTCCCCTTCTGCCCCTTATATTGATTTAATGCGTAAGTCGAACATCCTCGAACTCGTAGATCATCCGACGAGATTCAGAGAAGGCCAAACTCCCAGAACTCTCGACCTGATATTTGTCAATGATCCTGACTTTGTTTCCAGTCTAGAATACCTGCCTCCTTTTGGCAAGTCGGATCACTGTACTTCATTGACCTCACTTCAATTCTATGTACAAACTCCATCACGTAGACACTTCAAAACTGAGAAGCTATTAAACTGCAGTGCTCTCAATCGAGCATTGTCTGAAATAAACTGGACCAACCTGTTGCACAACGTAGTACTGAAGATATGTAGGATATATTCTCTCGTCGAATCCAACTGGAAGTCACTAAGCACAAAGAAGATATTCAGTCACCCAAGAAAGCCTTGGATTAACCATAACCTCTCAAGGATGGTGACGCATAAGAAGCGTTATGGCAAAGATTCCATAAAAGTAGACTACAACAGGATTATGTATCTCATTGATCTTTCTCTAACATCCTTTCCAAGAACTTGAAAAACGTCAAGCGCAATTATGAGCAAAATCTTGTATCATCGAAAGATAAGAAGAAGTTGTTTAGATACTTGAGATCCACCCTGAACTCTAAGGTTTCTTCCCCACAAATCCGCGATCCCAATGGTCACCTACATACTGATGCCGAAAAATCTGCCAATCTTCTTGCCGATGCTTTCAGTGAAGATTTTTTGAATGAACCTGATGGTGATGGTACTTATCCAGCCCTCATAGATCCCTAGCGACCATCTGTAACAACTCTCGCATACCCCTGTGTATTATATTCAACTCCTCGTTTCAAAATCACATCCTTCCTTCCTGTTGGCGTACTGCATCTGTGACACCTATATACAAAAAAGGAGATAAATCATCTGCGAAGAACTACCG